CTCCTCCTCCTCCTCCTCCTCCTCCTCCTCCTCCTCCTCCTCCTCCTCCCCCTCCCCCTCCCCCTCCTCCACCGCCCCCTCCTTTCCCTCCTAGTGGCTCTCCTCCCTTCTCTTCCATTGCGCAGGAGGCGGCTGACAGGCTCGAGGCTGCCGTCCGCGACCTCCGCGCCGAGCTGGGCGTGGCTGCACCAGACCGCCGCGACGGGCCCCACGCGGCCACCGCGGCAGACGCTCACGCGTGGCGCCGGGAGCTCCCGGGTCGGGCAGCGCTAAGGGATGAGGACATGTAAGAGGAGGAGGAGGAGGAGGAGGAGGAGGAGGAGGAGGAGGAGGAGGAGGAGGAGGAGGAGGAGAGGAGGAGAGGAGCAGCAGGCAGCAGCAGCAGCAGCAGCAGCAGCAGCAGCCAGGAAGAGCAGGAGCATGAGCAGGAGGCAAGGAGCAGGAGGAGGAGGAGGTCGAGGAGCGAGGAGGAGGGGAGGACGAAGAAGAAGAGGATGAGGGGGAGAAGGGAGGAGTACGGAAGAGGAGGAGGAGGAGGCGGAGGAGGAGGAGGATGAAGCAGGAGGGGGGGAGGGGGAGGAGAGGAGGCGTGAGGGAGGAGGAGGAGGAGGAGGAGGGAAAAAGCAGAGGAGGGGGGAGGAGGATGACGAGGACGTGACGAGAGAGAGGAGGAGGAGGAGGAGGAGGAGGAGGAGGAGCAGGAGGAGGAGCAGGAGCAGGAGCAGGAGCAGGAGCAGGAGCAGGAGCAGAAGCAGGAGGAGGAGGAGGAGGACCAGTGTAAACCCAAGAGCCGTCAACGATGTTGGAATAAACCTTCCCTCCGCCCAAAAATAAGGCCTTGGTGTTGCGAAAGGGAGAAGTCATGTATAAGGAAAAGGAATGGGGGAGGAGGAGGAGGAGGAGGAGGAGGAGGAGGACCAATGTAAACCCAAGAGGGTTCAGCGATGTTGAAATAAACCCTCCCTCCAAGCTCCCTCTACATAATTCGGCCCCTACGACGGTTCATTTTTACTGAGGGAACTGCCACGTTGGAAGACAACTGTTTGAAGACCCTGAAGCATTCCAGAACATTGTTCTCGGGATTCCAACGCCACGGATGAACCTGACTGTTGCTCTTGACGATCCTGAATATTGCCAGAACGCCATTCCTGGGACTTGAACATTGCGAATCAACATAGTTTGCGCACCCTCATGAGCCCAAATCCGTCCATAGCACCATGACTGCTTCGCGGATCATGGGAATCGGAGAAAATCCTGCAATTTGTTAAGACGAATGTGCGCGGCGCTAAGGCGAGAGCCACATTTTGAAAAGGAGCCGCCCTTAATCCGTGAAACCCTTGTACATAATTAAGACGAGCGCGCGGCGCTAGGGCGAGAGCCACATTTTGAAAACGAACCGCCCTCCATCTGTGAAAGTGTTGCCAATGTTTAAGCTCCAGAATCATGAATGGTGAGGAAGTCTGAGAATTGCTTCTACCGGAATGCGTCTCTGGTCTTCCCACTGGAGGTTGCATGTCGGAGCCCATGGCCGCAGTGCTGCTTGGATCTCGCGTGCATATGCCACGTGCGAATTCCGCCTACCGGCGGGAGTGCGGTTTATCACTGCGGTCGCTGCGTCCGTCTCGTATATTGTCAGTTGTTCTTCATGTTGATGATTCGGCAGCGTGCCCCACATGTCTCTGTCTTGGATGCCTGGAGAAGTTGCTCAACAGCGCGGTGCCTTCTTCGCCGGAGATATCCCGCGAAGAAGAGGGACCTGTCTTCCGCATGCTCGACGCAGCGTGGGAGGCGCACGATTCGCACCTTTTTATTTCATCACAACCAAAACGCCGATTTTACAACTGGAGCAAGCGACCTGCAGACGTTAACCCGTCTGTTGCCCTGGTGGAAGAACAGTGCCGCGCCAAATTCGGATGCATGCACGCACGTACATGGACGCATTGTACGCGTGCAACATGCATGGAGTCATGCAGGACATGACTTACAATCATATTTGGAGTTATGCGTCGAACTCCAAAGACTGCATTATCCCCCGCGTCAAAATGCGTTTGCTCGTGCCCCCCCCCTGCCAGACAAACGCCAGCGCTTGTTTTTGTGCGAGATATAACGCGGAACCAGAGGAAGTGAACGTCGTGGTTTGCAGCAGTATTTCTGGGTGCATACTTCTGTTTCACATTTGCACTGGCGCGCGGCAGTTACAAATGGCGCATGCTTATCTACGCTGTCATGTTCATCACCATGTGCTTCTTCCTCTCCATCACCGTCGTCTCCTTCTCCATCCACCTCTTCTGCCTCAAGGGCTCCAGCCTGCTTTTGCCCCTTGCGCCCCCGCTCGCCCGCGGCGCCTGCAATGGCCCAGTGGAACAACGGCCAGCGCGGCGGGCAGCGGCCCCAGGGCGCCTGGGGCCCCGGAGGCGCCCGGGGCCCCGGAGGCGCCGGCTCCAGGCTGCAGCCGCGGCTGCGCTGGAGCGAGGAGCTCCGCGCCGCCGGCGACAGGAAGGAGTCGCAGAAAATGGGGAAAGCCATCAGCGCCTGCCACGCACAGTTTGCCCCGTCGCTCGCGGGCAGGATGGGGGTGACAACGCCTGCCTTGTCCCCGGGGGCCGCCCCGGAAGCGGCCGACCCGTCGGCGCCCGCGCCCGGGGGCTTCCTGCAGTGCATCCCCACGCTGTTCAGCGACGCGGCGGCGAGGACCTCCGAGTTCGCCGAGGCTCTTGCCCGCGACCCCAACTTGGCGGCAGCGGTGGCGGAGCGCGCGACGAAGCGGGGCGCGCAGCCTGGCCCGCCGGCGCGCGCCGCCAAGCGCGCGTAGGGCGCGGGCATTGCAGCGCCCGCGAAGAGCAGCGCCGTCGCGCACCCAGTCATCTTGCTCAACTGGCAGGCCAACCTGGGCCGCGGCAAACTCCCGAAGAACAGCGCCACGGACTACGTCGTCAACCTCCTGGTCAACGACGTGGAGTCGATCAGGAAGGTCGCCGGGGTGATCGCGAACAACCGGGAGCACCCGCTCGTCAAGCAGCTCGGCTGGAGGGCCCAGAAGCAGCCGAAGCTCCGCGCTGCTTCGGCTGTCCTCGCCGAGGAGGCCGTGGAGGAGTACGCGGGCGACCGGGGCGGGCCCAGTGATGAGCGCTAGGGGCAGCGCGGCGGCGCTGGTGCATGGATCAGCTTTTTCTACATGATTGTATTCTACAATAATTTATGTCGCCGTTCTAATTGGCATCTCGATCGGCATTTTCAGGGCCATGTGGGAACCAGCCCGCCGCAGTGGGTTCGTGTCGTGCTGCTGGGACAGGCTGCGGGGCCCCCTCTGGTCGGCGCGGCGTCGCAGTGCGGCTTCCCGCGCGGCGCGGGGCTACAGCAGTTCCCCCGGCAGTTTCCGATGGCCGCGGAGCCCCCAGGGCACGGGCGCCAGATTGGCTGGACCTACCCCGGGCGCGTGGGCCTTGGAGCCCCGCCGCCGGCACGGCAAACGCAGGCGCCATGGCAGCGCGACCCCGGCTTGCAGCGGCAGACCGCTCAACAGAGACACGGAGGAGACGGCGGCAGCCGCTGGCGATGGCCTTGGTAGGCACAATCATTCATGTGGAAAAATATTTAAATTCATGCACGCTGATCCGGACGCGCTACGCCACCGACGCCGCGGGCTGAATTAGCCGAAGTTTTCAAGCTGACGTACCCCGTGCGTCTTTCAGGCAAGTTGCATTCACCCCGTGCCCCCACTCGCCCCCTGCCCGCTCGCCCTTTCCGCCCTCTCCGCCCGCTCTCTGCCGCAGCGCGGAAGATGACGGCGATGGGGTTCTGCTGGGGTTCTGCTGCCATTTAGCCCGCGAGCGGTTTAGACCGGAGCTCAAGGGGGGCATGCAATCTTGCTTGCTTACTCGCACACGCGCGCGGGTCGCTCGGGAGCGCAGAGAACATCAGGAGCATCAGAAAGGATCCCCCAGAGGATGGGGCCGCAATCGATTCAAGATTGCACGATCGACGCGGTGGCAAAAACTTTCGCGCGCGCCGACTCCGCGCGAATCTACCGCGCATGTATGGGGAGGAAGCTCCTCAGATCTCCGATGACGTGATTTGGCAATCCCTGCGTCTTGCCTTCTTTTCGGGGTCGAGCCCCGGGATCAGCAAAAATGGGCCACGGGCGCAGAGGCCCTTCAGGAGGGACAAACACACGCAAACACACACACACACACACACACACACACACACACACACACACACACACACACACACACACACACACTTGACGTGCCGATGAGACGAGAAAGACTGCAGACAGACCGATGAGGTGTGTAAAGTTCCCCCCCGGTCGCTCGAGTCCTCCTTCTACGATCGCCTGCGGGACCGTGATATATGTTGTTGTTTGTTTTTCCAACGCTGAGACAGAGCACGCTCGCTGGAACCCACAAGTGTGTGCACCACTGGACCGTATTCGTAGGCAATTGGTGGTTTGAGCGCCGGCCTAAACCCCAGCGGGGCTCGATTTCAAAAACTGCTGCGGAGACGGGCGGACGACGGCCTGGGCTCCCTCAGGCCTACCGCCGGTGATAAATCCAATGCGACTTTACTGGCAAACGTGTTACTTAAGACCCAGCTCCATGCATGACCACGTAAACTGGCAAGTGTATTAGGCCCTAGCTCCCACATGATGTAAATGTACAGTCTTCGTGAATGCTAAAATACACACGCACACACGCACACACACACACACACACGCGCATCCCTCCCAAACAGAAGAGATGGCGGGAAGCATCCTGCAGGAATGTTCAGGCAGAAGCTGCTGAGCTAATGCCTTCACTCGCTTCGCTCAACGGTGCTGCGGCGCAGTGCGGTCTCCCCCCCAGCTACGGCCGGGAGCTGAACATGAACGGAACGGAAGCTAGCCACTGCGTTGCCGCAGTCGTCGCACTGATTCCGAGGGCCGTGACAAAAGGCACCCAGGGCTCCCCTGTAGGAGCGGGGCAAAAGGGGTGCGGGTTGCCAGTCAAAGTAGCTGCAACGAGCTGCGCACCCACGTCGCCTAAGAACTGGGAGGCCCCAGGCATGCCATCTTGAAGTGGCCTCGGGGACCCGGGAGGGCCCTGTTGAAAGGCAGGCGGGGGATCCGCACTTCCAAACGCCAATGCTTGAATTAGCTTACTACCCAGGCTGGAGAAACACATCGGAATCAACCAGCCCGCCCTGGCCGTAAGAACTTCGATGAGTGTGGAAATGGCTGCCCGCACATCAATAACTAGGATGCCCGTCTGG